AAATGTAAAGCTAAATAATTAGATTTCTTTTAACCATGACTTCGTGAATATTCCGCCTGTACTGTAGAGCACATTCCAGCGAAGTAATGCCTCATACCTGGCGTTTGTTATAAAAACCCTGCAGTTCTTTGCGCGAGTCGTTGTCAAAGCGCAGTGTAATTAAGATGCATGCTGCGCGGTAATTGACCACCGAGGCTGGTACGTGGCGAGCAAGATCCTATATTCAGTACTAGGTTCTGCCCGCGACTTCGTCCACGCTGACTTATTCTTCATTGGTGCTCCGCTAGATAAATAGGCTATCAAACACTGAAAGAAATCGGACCAGCAGTTCCTGAAAGTAGCTCATTCAAGCGAACAAAATACAAACAAACTCTTAAGCTTCATAATATTAGTATGTATAGGCAGATACCTAGAACATTTACATTCAGATGTAAGACAACCAATAAAACATCTGGAGTAGTCTATCATCATAAAATTGTTTGTTTTATAATTCCAAGATGGAGCCTCGTTACATACAGACGAAAGTATTTGCCCGTCTGAAATCAAAGTGCATTTGCACAAGTGTAAACAAACTGTTCGCTGCTTCCAACCTTTAAAAAATATCCGATAGCAAAGGGAATGTTATATTCTATTTCTATCTAATGCATAGGATGGCTAGAACTCCTGTGACCCATGGTGACTCCATGGGTCTGATGAAGGCCTAAGAAGCGCGTTCCGATGATTGCATCACGATTTGTATGTGTCTCCCTTTTGGCCACATAAAGTACAAGTGTCGCCTTTTAAATATTAACGAGTTCTTGCACTTCTATAAAGTGCACTCGCTCATCAGCCAGTGCCGCAGTGTTATGCAACAGCGAGTGCAGTCAATACTACTTATGTAATGCGCCGGTATTGTAGGGAATTGCAATATTAAAGTAGATGCAGTTATGATTAGTTTGTAGGTACCAGAATCCGTACTAAGATGCTGCAGCGGTCTTGAGAGAGATCTTGGGGGAAATAGGTACTGGTTCTTGCATTTGTCCCGTAATTGGAAGAAACAAGGTCAAAAAGCTCATATTCAAAGCTTCAAATCTCCAATGTGGCGCACCTTGAAACTTTGACAGGTACATAAAGTTCAGCTGCCATCTCTGGGAAAAATAAAGCTTTTCACTGGTATTGAAACGGCAAAAAAACATTCACAGTTTAATTTCGCATGGCATTTTGTTGGAACCCGCTGCAGATATTGAAGCGGTTTTTGTGACTGAAAAGAGTATATGGGCTGGTGAGATATATGCAGAATTTTTTCCTGCACAACTTCATGCGGCCGGTGTTTTATTGAAAAAGTAAACCAAATTGATCAATAATTGGGGAAGCCCTCCTCCTTTTTAGTAAACCTTAGGAAACACGGCGATCAGTTAATTAGGATTCTTTCAGAAACTATGATTTGGGGAGACAGAACGATAATCTTCACGAGGGCTTCACGTCATTGACGCTATTTTGACGAGTGAGAAAAAAAAGTAATACTTAGTCGTGAATCCTAATAAAATGATGACGTCACTTTCAGCTTCATTACTTATGTGTAATGAGGTCTAAGATAAGAACCAAAACACGTTAGTATCAACCCCAGCATTCCAAAGGCGGCTGAACGTACGAGTACGTAGTACTTATTGTTATTCTGTGGTACGAGTGCTTTTGTAGGTAATATAAAAAGCAGTTTGTCAGTTGGGCGCCGTCGCGACGCCGGTCGACAGCCCTCGGCGTCAACAAACATCTAATCTAGCCCCAAACTATCTGCAGTCATTAGTACGGCGGCATCGACCCGCCCTTGTATGTCTCTGTGCTAATTCTAATACATTTTTAATCATCTGTCTGACGTGTGGGAAACTTTCCAAGCTGTGTTAATTACAACTTACTAACATGATTGTACCAACCGGCCTTTGTGGAAATCATTGGGGGAGCCTGTGTTCAGCAGTGGACGTCCTATGGCTGAAATGATGATTATGATGATGAACATTATTGTCATTTTTTTAAAAAGCTCAAAGGATTTGCCACATAAGATGCAGTTAATTTTTAAGTAGTTCAATAAATAATGGTAAAACCATTAAACATTAAATTGGGAAAGAAGTTGATCTAGATAAAAATTTGAAAAGTACCTACCTACCATTAAGAAGAATGAAAATACCTAATTAATAACGATTCGTTTTTTATGTTATGGTTGCTTTTTACAACGTTTTCGATTCGTGTATGACAAGAACCTATCTTCCACTCGAGTCTTTTTTTCGGACTTTATAGCTCCTATATTGGATCTAGGAGACAGAGCTCGTTAAATGCTCGTTTGTGTGTGTGTGTGTGTTGTGTCTCGTACCGAGGCTCATTCGACATTCATTACCTTGCAGCTCCAATTGAATACCCACTTCAGTTTGACGTCTATCTGAGCTAGACTGGTTATATGAAGTCGTATCTCAGTAAAATTAATCCAATCTTCATTTGTCTTTAATTTACCTGATTTTATCCAAAACTTTGGATTCCATGTGTTCTTCTTAGGTATTTGCTATGTGACTTGTGATTACCTGCTCATGAGCCTAACTCCATGAGTTACAATGGTGGGAACAGATTTGTAAAAATACGTAATGTATCTCTACGTAACATGTATCTCCTATTAAATCACTAAAATATAAGCATTTATGCATACAGGATGTTAGGTAAATGGGTATATGAGCCGACAAAATAAAATTTTATAAAATCTGATTTGTATGAAAATTAAAATAATTAAAATGAAGATATCAATTTTCTGACTTCACCATACCATTTATATGCCCATGTTAACATGAGCTAGTGTCTGCTCATATACTCATTTACCTAACACCCTGTATACACTGAAATTTTATAAAAGCAAATAACGTCTTTAAAACGTTATTTGTATAAAGCATTCACTGAAATCGTATATTGATCTAAGCAGGGTTAAAGACAGCTGATAACACTCTATAATCCCTACTGCCTACATCCCGGGGCGGGAATGAGGGCGGGTCCTCTCGCACAGCGGGAGGTTATGAAGAAGACCAGTGGTTCTTAACCTTTAAGTCATGAGGGACCACTTTACCAAATTTCTGTCTTGTCAGGGACCACCTCATAATCATAATCGGTCAAAAGTAAACCAGTTTGAGTGCAAAGTGGTTTTGATTCAGGCGTGCAAGTGCAGTTCGTGGACCACTTGGAATGCCTTCAGGGACCGCCAGTGGTCCGCGGACCACCGGTTAAGAACCACTAAGGTAGAGGATAGGCATAAACTGCTGATGGTGCACAAAGGGTCATTCATTATCAGGATATACAGTTACAGAACATTAAATTATACATTTTTGTTGCAAAATTGCATCTATGATAAGACGTCAGTGTTGATTTTGATCTGCCGTCGTCTGTGCAACCAAACTCGTTATTATATTGGCATCAGCGAGAAAGAAGATGCCGTTGGTTGGCCTTTTAGCTGACCTTCTCGTAGATAGAGGAATGTTTGGTAAGTATAAAAAGCACAATCCTTTAATTAAATGTTACTCGTAGCTGGTCGCTAGGCTGTTATTCATGTTTATCCATGTTAGTTTAACTCTTCTTTGTCTTTTTAGATGTTTGAGATGGCTGTCTCACTGGGGCTTTAACCAGAGTAAATACAAATGAGTAGGTCATGTTCATAGAAACGCGCCGAGCGCGGCGAAACTCCCCGCTAATCCACGCAAAATTTTGTCAGTGTGTGCGTGCGCGCCGCATACGTATTGGCGCGCTCACATACAAACCGCGCTCGGTGCGTTTCTATGAAGATGACCTACTCATTTGTATTTAATCGGCTTTTCAACCGACTTCAAAAAAGGAGGAGGTTCTCAATTCGACCCGTATGTTTTTTTTTTCTATGTTTGTTACGCGATAACTCCGCCAATTATGAACCGATTTGAACAAATCTTTTTTCGGCTTATAGGTAATACCTCAAGGGTGGTCCCATTTAAATTTAATAATAGAAAAAACAACCCCCAAGGGTGGAAAATTGGGGATGAACTTTTTTATACGCAATATCTCCGCCGATTATAAATCAATTTGAACGATTATTTTTTTGTTGAATAGGTATTATCAAAAGGGTGGTTTCATGCGAATTTGAAGAAAATATTTCACCCCCAAGGGTGGAAAATTGGGGATGAACTTTTTTATACGCAATATTTTTAATTTTTAGTTTTTTTTTTGTGTTCACGCATTTGAAGTCGGTTTTATTTTTTTTAAAAGTTAATTATACTAAGGAATAATATACCTACGCTGGTAACCCGCTGTGCTCGAGGACGCGCCCGCGAGCCGCCGCCGGGCTGTCTGGGACCAGAACAGATTGCGTCACTGCCCGAATCCCTCAGACTAGCTCTCGAAGCTGAAAACTACATTGCCAAAATTCCTCTTGTATTTATTATGCGTGTAGGTGAAAAGTGAAAGATAATAAATCGAAATAAAGCTTGCTGAATATTGGAATCGGTGAAAGTTTAGAAATACTTTTTCGGATCGCTGGATCGTGAGTCGTGACCCGGTGGTTTATACTATAAACTGGAAATATTTAACACCATTATTTCACTTATTTGGTCATATAGGTAGCAGAGGGTTTTAAATAACAGAGTCGGTACATTAAGGCTGAACTAAAATTCCAGATATAAAAGGCAAGACAAAAGGAATCCAGGCATATTTAATGAACAAAGGGGAAGTTAGCAAACAGCAGTTTATATTGAAATGAAAAACTTTCGAGCCATTTTTCCTTCTTTTTATAGTAAAAAGGTTAATAGGACTGTTCTCACTGCTGCAACTCCTATGTAGCCGGGATCTACAGCTTGACCACCCATAAAAACCCAGTCAGTGTAGGTCAAGTTTGTCCCGGTGGAAAGTCAAACTGTCATTGGAATCGAAACGAAATTAATCAGAAGACCATCATAAAAGGGTTTATCATTAATTGAAAGAAGTTTATTTTTCGCAATGAGTCACGTGAACCGTTTCGTTTGTTGCAGCTACGTGTACCCGACCATGGACGAGCTGGCCAACCAGCTCAACTACGTGCTGGGCCACTTCGGGATCAAGTCCTTCATCGGGTTCGGCGTCGGCGCCGGCGCCAACATCCTCGCTCGCTTCGCTCTCGCTCACCCTACTAAGGTAACATGCTCATATAAAATACTAACACAGATCAGTTTACTAAATTTTTCATTTGAAATTTTGGTATCATGTATCTCAGGTTGGAAGTCACAAGCCTCTCAAAAAGTATCAATTCAAATCAAAATATATTTATTACCCTTCACAATTCAGGTACACAAAGACAATACAAATTAGACCAAGGATTTCTAACCTAAAGTGTGAGGGACTGGTGCCTGTACGCACGCACTGCAGGTCGCACCCCCGGAACGAATGGCGTATTACTGTCATAACTCTTGACTTGTCAAAGTTAAACTATACATATAACCTCATGTCACTCTGCATTTGGTTGTTTAAGGGGAAGCTCCAATAGATTTCCGTTCACCTTCCCACTCCCAGAAAGTAACCACAGTCACATGTCTTTACTAATTTAAGGAAAGACTAATTCACTACTTTAGTCTGATCTAATCGATTTGTGATCACTTGATTGACATCTACATTTCGATCCGGCTAATCTGTTCAATGGACACATCTCCGAACCTCATTGACACATACAAGTGTATGTAGCGTTACAAATGCAATGCCAAAGGCTGCTCCAGGCAAGTGACGGCCGAGCGACTGATCGGCCCTCAAACACACTCCAGTGACGTATTGACTCAATCGCTTTGGTGCTCACTGGCTCGGCGGCGACCCGTTTCGGCTGAAGGGCACGGAGATTGGCTGATCAACCGTTACCGCAAACTAGTAATATCCGATACGGTTTCCGAAATGTCGGCAATTGGCAAAATCAAAGGCATGCATCAAATAACCCCCGCAGATGCGAACAGATTGGGATCGGTAGTGACTAACTTTCGACATCACTGTCATATCTACTATAAATAGGTTAACAGTTACGACGACTCACGAGCACTACAGTTATTTACTACACTATAAATTAAGACCGATTTAAAAAAAATCACCATTAGAATCCTATAGGCAATAAGAAGTTCGCCAGGTCAGCTAAAGTTGTGTAGACATCAGCTAATCAAATTTTAAATGTGAAATCCACACAATAGCGTTCATCTAGTCTTCCTCTGTACCATTATCTAAACATAGCATAAGGTGTTGATAGCAAATATCAAATATTATCTATTGCTAATCTCATAACAGAACGTGCAACGGTACAGTATCTCGGATATAGGTTTGCATTTGTGGCCAAAACGTAGATCGTATCCAGGCAGTGGGAAGCGACCTGAATCAATTGACGGCGACTGCCAAACCAAGATCGACAGCATTCGGTTACAATGCAAGTTACCGTCGCCTGAGTTCGTCTCGCTTCACATCGACCTAAGGCCGCTCGTGCTTGAGCAGTCTTAACACTAGATAGCTTGGCCACCTGGATTCCGGCTTAGAACCTCGCATGAAGGCAATATCAATCAAATTTAATAATAATCCAATTATATCATTAGCCAAAAGCCACTGCTGGATAAATTAATATGAAAAGAGTCTGCATCCCTAAGAACTAATTTAATTAAAATTTCCCTGTCTTAATCCAGTTTTATCCCGATTCCTTCCTTATTTTATTAGTTCCTATTAGGAGATATCTACTACTTTTTATTCACTTTTAATATTTATAAATTGACTAGCTTTTACCCACGACTTGCTAGCTATTACTAGCGTGAATTTCGATCTGTTACAGAGTTTTTATCGCGTTTTACTAAGCGCTAATCCTACTTGATTAGCAAGTTTTGTTTTTTACCTCGTCACTGGTCCCTATTTCAATATTTGCATATAACATGTCTTGGATTACGGTCACTACCCTTCTTGTGATCAAATAAAATAAAAAAATGTTTACTGAAAATTCAGGGTGGCGAACATGTTGGTCGGATCAGGCAATGTCGAATGTAATTATTCGCCGCGAATTTTTTCGCCCAACCCGCGTGACACGCCGCGTCGCCGTCGGCGCTGAACGTGTAATATGCCGCTTAAAAATATATTACTTTTCTATTTTAAATAACTTTTACGGTTTTTCACAAAGTTAATTTTACCTCGAATTTTTATCAAAGTAATTTACCTACGTTTGATCTAAAATAACAATTTGAAAGCAATGAAACAAAAATAGTTGCTCTATGGACGCTTTTCACAGTTGAATAGTCACAGAGCTGTGTTTCCACTAAAGTGCGTATGTCGAAAAAGTCAGAATAGTGCCAAGGTATTTGTTCAAAAATATAAGATAGTACATATAAAATGTGATGTAGTTTCTTATGTAAACGTCGTGAGTGATTCACGCGACATTTGTGTGTAAAGTGGGTCGGAACAAAGGCAGGCAGCGCCAACTTCAGGCGCCGATGCGGGCGCGACTCAACTTGCGCCCGCCCTAATTAGGCGGCTAGTTAATTATTTCATGTTGGATAACTTTACTGCTGTCACATTCGCAGTTAAAACTATCAAAATACAAGTGAACTCGACGTTGTGTTTAAAAGGGCGAAGGTACCGTTCACACATTAACAAAATGAGTGGTTCCTTTTCATCTTTGGGTCACAAATCTTTCGAACGGCTTTTTATTTATCTGTATTGTAGAGTCAATACAGATAGTCGATGTGGTTCTGGCAGAGTAAAATACTCCCATTCTTCCCGTAGCTGTCTTAATAGCGACTACGAGAGAAATATGCGAAAATTATGGCTCACCAATCCGTTTGTCCCGCATGGGGATTTTAGGCCTGTGTTCCTCCTCCTTTTGTTTCTTTTTTAAATTACACTGAATTATCCTCTTGCAATGCAGACCAAATGTCTTGATGATGATGATGATAATGATGATGACTTCTTGCGTGAGCAGGCAGACGCGCTGGCGTTGATCACGAATATGAACGAAATGGGCGGTTCGGATTATCCTTAGGACCAAAAAGCCTTTTATGGATATGAATGGCTTTTTATTTATCTGTATTGCCATAAGACACTGACAGAGTAAAATAGGATCAACCTCACACTTAGAATGGATGTCGTAATGTCGTAAGATGTGACTAAGGGAGAAATATACGAACATCAGGCCACGCCAATCCGTCTGTCCAGTAGGCCTAAGATGCGCGCCCTGATCTTTTATCTAGATCAAAATGTATGTGTAAAGTCGATAAAATGGCGTGATAACCGCTTATCGCGGCGCCCATCTTAGGCCTACAGGGTATAGGAGTACCAGTTCCCTTCTCTTTTTAAAGAAGAGATGGCCGTCTTCCTGCAGCAGAGACCAACTGCCCTGATGATGGTATAATGATCGACTCCGTGCGTGTGCAGGTGGATGCGCTGGCGCTGATCAACTGCACGGCGAGCCAGGCGGGCTGGATCGAGTGGGCCTACCAGAAGATGAACAGCCGCTCGCTGCGCGCGCGCGGCATGACGCAGGGCGTGCTCGACTACCTCATGTGGCACCACTTCGGACGCGTGAGTTACTTATTTATTTATTTCTTTCTTTCTCTCTTTGTTTTTTGGTTTCTTTCCTTTTTTTCTTTGTTTTTATTGTTTTTCGTAAATTTTTATTTTAATGTTTTTTTAATTTAAGTTTAGTTACCTAGCGATCTGTGTCATTTATTTTATACTAGCTTTTGCCCGCGGCTTCACCCGCGTGAAATGTCGTTTATCACAGATCGTCATAAATTATAGCCTATATGTTATTCTCTGTTATAAACAATAATACTGTGAAGTTTCATCAAAATCCGTTCACTAGTTTTTACGTGAAAGAGTAACAAAAATCCAGACATCCACACAAACTTTCGCATTTATAATATTATTATTTATTTATTATTTATATGTAGTAGGATCTTAACTGATTTTAATGTTTTAATGTAGGTATGTCTATTTTTAATAATTTTGATAAACACCTTGGTATGCTAGGTGCCAGCTAATGTTAAAAATAAAAATTTAATTGTAAATTACTCGCACTTGTCCCTATTAGTATTTTTACAAGAAACATAAACATACAAACATCCGTTAAACATTTTCCTTAACGGGACAACAATACAAAAATATTAAACGACGCTCCCCCGGGAAGAATCTGAAACATGGTAAAGTCGCTACTATTAGAAAAACAGAGCGAACGCGAAATAACATGAAATTCAGATGATTTCAAGCCTTTCTTTCGTAATCACATTTGCAATAGAGATGCCCGGTTTTTGTTCGCATCATAATATCGATAAAATATTTTAACTAAATATCTTAACTGATTTCTACTTGTATAGTAGTTATATAGTGCTTTTGAGCAATAAATCGGTATTTTAAAGTCCTACTTACAACTTAAATAAATTAAATACTTGTATACTACCGATCATTTTGGGTAAGATGTCAGCATTCTCGATATTATCAATGACTATGGTTATGTAATTTATGCATAAAAACCTTTCCCTTGGACAACTGAAAACCGCATTAAAATCTGTTTTAAAGATCTAATCGTACAGACAGCGGAAACGACTTTGTTTTATACTAATGTAAAGATAACAAGCCCTTAGACCTCGATGCAAACCTCGACATAACCCCAGCACTATCGCTCGACCGATATCGCATCGCTGATTTGAACTAGCTGCTCCTGAGCCTTGCCGGCTCCGGGATTAAACCGGCTCGGAGATCCGGGATCAATAGTAATCCCGAGTTTGTTAGCTTTTGTAGTTTTTAAGCCACGCTCTGCTGTTCTGTTTCTGATTAGTTCTAGTTCAAAGGTACTGTCTATGGTACTGTGATCACATTTGATCAAAAACCCAATACACAGAACTGTCCCACCCGTGCATTGACAGAACAGACGTGGTTCAGAACTGACTACTACTATGCCGAGAGGTCCCGGGTTCGATTCCCGGCCGGGCAGAAATTCAAATGTTGAATTTGAATTTCTGTGACGGGTCTGAATGTTTTCTATGTAGAATAATATGTATGTATTAACAAAAAAAAAGTATTCACGTATGTTTTATAATTATATCCGTTGTCTAGTACTCATAGCAGAAGCTTTGCTTGTTTGGGGCTAGCGGCGCAGTGTAAAATGTCCAAGGATTTATTTAAATTAAGTAAACGTGAACGAAACGTCTTTTGTAAAGTAGGTAAAATATTCACCAGCTCGTGCTTAAAGTGTGAAAACCATTACAATTTCTTTACGAAATGAATAATGGATGTACGAGTATATTATTAGTATATCATTTACCAGCTATCTATACGAGTAGTAAGGTAGCTTAGTTAGAGACGACAAGCCGCAGTGTTTAATATCGAAGGACTATTTATTTGGTAATACTTTGGGACAGTTGTGTAAGTTTACTACCCGCCATCATGTCCCTCACATCCTGTGTAAATAACGTGACGTAGAGAAAGACATTATGAAGGTTTTCCTTAACAGTGGTTAGGTCATCGTGGATCTTAGAAATAATTATAAAACTATATTTACAGTCTTTCGTTCCCTTTAACACACAATACATAATTGGAAGTAGATACATCATGCATTTTACGAAATGAATGAAGTTTTTTCACACTTTTATAAAAGCTTCAAATCGGGAACAACTGTCTCAAATGACGCCACAATCGTCGGTACAATCTGCCGACTAGTTTGGAAGTCTGGCCACCTGGAATCCAATTTGAATGGGGACCAGCTACCTGTAGTATTATCTGATTCGACCGTTGTAAGACAAATTTCTGGTTATTTGACCCTCCATGCCACAGATCATTATTGTTTGCGCGACCTTGGATCACTGCGCGATCGTTGTAGAGGGGTCGCCATCTGATTTGTATTATACCGACTGGTTTGTTGCTATCGCGTCTCAGACTGTGGCCCGAGTCCTTGAAAACATGATATCTAGGCTAGCTACCACCATCTTTGATAAGTCTTTCGCCATTATAACAATGTTATGAGCAGCTTTTCTGAGGTTAAGGATTCTGGGTGTAGCTCGCTTCTACCTTTAGCCTGATCATCACTTTCCATCAGATAAAATGCAGGCCAAGACTAAAAACTGCAGGATCTAGCACGTGATAGTATTGCTTTTAATACATAATACAATCCCCTGGAGTAAGACAGCTGGAGCGATCCAAATGCAGGACTTAATTGAATTCGTGTTTCGGAGCAATGCCGCTGTAGATAGATGCTGTCCTCTTACTGAACAAATAACGGTTCAAGTATCGAATGTGCCCAAGAAGGTACATTAGTATGTATGAGAACCGGACTGGGCAGAGTCGCGGTCGTAGATACGTATATATGAATTCAATCACATAGATGTGACTACAATGTATCTAAAACTTGTAAATGAAATAGAAATATGTATCTCTCTATTGCTAAATATTTTCACTATTATTGTTATTTGCGTTTCTAAACCCCAAAATAGCCATTTCAAAAACTGTCAGCTTCGGCTCAGCTAACTTCGGTAATGGCTGGACCGACTTCAGCTGGCTTTGAGCTGATAAATAGTTGAAACGGGCGGTCAAACGGATAAACGAACCAATAACAATAAGCTATACGTCATCGGAAAGGTTTGGGGCAGGGATGTTATGGATATCCGTCCGTATCCGTAACCGAAACTTTCGGATATCCGAAATAAAAAAATATCCGTAACCGTAACCATAACCGATTCAAAGGTTTCGGATAGTTTCGTATGTAGGCAGAGTCAAGCAAGTCCCTACGCTGATTTTTATTATTGCACTTTGAAGTGCATGAGTTTTTTTATTTTTCCCATAAGATAAAAGCTTTTTGTGGGACCAAAAGAAGGTGACAGATGCCAAATAAATCTCTTCTGTACCCATTCTATTCTTAAGGTATGAACTGTGTTGGACAACTATTGGAATCTATACTTAGCACAGACTGATATCCGTAACCGTAACCGAAACTGGTATAATATTATTCCAATATCTGTAACCGTATCCATAACCGAAACTACATATCCGTAACATCCCTAGTTTGGGGCTTCTTTTCTTGGGGAATCTCGTTCGTGACATGACATACCGCTTGTCGTTATTGCTCATGTAGTATCGAATCCCCTCCCTATCTCATATATTTTCCATAGAAAGATATTATCTACTTATAGATACACAGGTTCATGAGCGAAAATATGTAACTAGCTCTCAACATGACATACCTACAAAGACAAACAATATTCTATTGTAGGTATTCGGAATACACACTGACCTTATTAATCTGATCCAAAGCCAAGTCTAAACCAACAATCTAGTTTCTAAGCTAGAAAAGAGACACTAGCAACAAAGAGTCAGTTCTAATTGGCCCCCTCATTAGCCGTAACCGTACTGACAACTGCAAGGGAATCGTTCCAGTAACCGTACTGACAACGGGAATCGTTCCAGTCGGAAACATTTTTCCCTTTTTCCTAATAGCTCCATTAGTCTCCACTTAGTTACATCAATAGCTTCTTCACAATCTAATTAGGATTTACTTTTGCAGAAAATAAAACAGACTTTCAGTTAGCCACTTTCTGCAATACAAAGTAGCTATTGATTTGGATGTAATGTCTACAGTAGGTATAGTAATGTAGATGACTAACAGCTGCCCGCGACTTCGTACGCATGGATCCCGTTTTACCCCTTTAGGGGTGGAGTTTCGTAAAATCCTTTCTTAGCGGATGCTTACGTCATAACATACAAATTTCAGCCCGATCCGTCCAGTGGTTTGGGCTGTGTGAGATCACTATGTCAGTCAGTCAGTAACCATTTTACAATTTTAAGCTTCACACGGATAAAATCCTGAGCGTTTTGCTAGTAGAATATAAAATATTAATGCATGGAAGCACTTCAGGTATTTCAGTGATGTATCGGAAATTTAATTACGTGCATCATTCATCAAATTTGTTATGATTTTATCGGAAAACCGGAATGAAGGATCGGAAAATGTACGGAACGTGGATTAATTAAATTAATCTCGTTCTTTCCACGAACGCATTAAATTTCTACGGTGGGTACTATGCGCTGTTAGTAAAATGACTTTTAATCAAAATTTTCAGCTTCAATTATTGCAAAACTTTCATATTGACCTGGTATATATGGATAGATTGGACTTGGAAGAATAGATAGATTAATTTGCAGAAATTGTAAGGGTGTGATTAAGTATGAAAGTTTGTATGGGGAACCACCTGCTTTCTAGAGCAAGTAAACCATAATCCGCTTGGGATAAGCCAATGATAGAGAACATAGTAGTATTAGTAGTTAGATTATTTAATTTACAAACGGGTCCACTTAGTTCATTCATTCATCGTTTACTCACTCTTACAACATTGTGTCCGTTTTCCATCGTCATATGAAAACATTCTCAACGCAGAGCGTGGTTTCAGTGGCTAACCACAGAATACTAATTACGACAACAACAAAAACCGGACGCTGAATACAAATCTGCTTACCTTTCCCTATAATCTTGTGTATGTACAACGATATAAAGATCGTTTTCCAATACCGCAAATTAGTCAGCTACATACAAG